GTGTGTGTGTGTGTGTGTGTGTGTGTGTGATTAGAGTGCGCAAAGGTATTCGATGAGAGCGGCTAGGATGTCTTTGGTCTTGACCTCGGTGGGGTGGGAAATGGCGAGTTGGTCTCCGATGTTGTCGCTGTACTCTTGCAGGGTGGCCGCCACGTCTTGCCATGACGCTGCGTTTCGGCGCAAAAGCATCGCCACATGGTCTCTGACAGCATCGTCTTCCATAACCAACCAAGCGAGAATGGTGTCGAGCAGCTGCAGACTAAACAGGCCCTGGTCTAGTCGTTCCAGATATTCGTCGTCGGACCTTTGCAAGCGCGAAACCAGTGCGCTGCGCAGGTCGAGAAGATGGTCCAGAGCCTGGTAGTCGTGCGCAACGAACCGCGCCAGCAGTCGGATGCGCGGCGGCGAGTCGGAATCCAGATGCGTCAGCATCGAGCTGATGACCGCCAGCGCGTGCTGGACCGACTCGGACCCGCTGCGACTGCTTGCCGAGCACTGCAGAAACGTAGATACCAGTGGCGCCAGACCCGATGCCTCCACAAGCCGGTGGCATACGGCGTGGCCTGTAGGACCGGATGTGGCGTAGTCGAGGATCTTGAGCGCACGCATGCGCGCAAACTTCTTCTCCTTCATCAGCAGCACCATCAGCTCCACCCCCTCGCCCTCGAGCAGCAGCGTCCGATTCGCCGCCTCGGACATCGACAGACACAGCACGTCGACGACGTTCTCGGCGAACTCCTCCTCTTCCGCTCCAGCCGGAGACTGACGCCGATAGCGCGCCAGCACACCCAGCAGCACATCGATGCCGTTCTCGCCCGCGTTCTCGCCCGCATCGCCCGCGCGCGTGCTGCCAATGTGCGCACGGCTCGACTCGGACGTCTGCAGAAGAATCGCCAGCAGCTCAGCCGTGTAGCTCGTATTCTGGTCCACCTCGCGCCTGGACGCGAGCCGCGAGAGCGCCCATGGCAAGAAGGCACTCGCTGCAAGCTGCTCCGCCAGAGCCGGGCGCGACGTGACCAGATTCTCAAGTGCGCCCAGGGCATGGTAGATCGCCTGCGCATCACCCTCTACCTCGACCGCCTTGGCCGCTGCCTCCTCCGGCCCCAACGCCGGGTCCAGCTGGTCATTGAAGCGCGAAAGATTCGACACTACGAGCTCGAGCACGCTCTGCTTGAGCAGCGCATCGACGAGTGTGTCCATAGCCGCGACCGCACTCGCCCTGCCCTCCTCGGCGTCTTGCTCATCGTCGTCCCCCTCGTACCTCGCCTCGACCTGGTCGAGCACGTCGTCGTCCGTCAGCTCCTCGATAACCTCGATGGCTGCAGCCGCAATGTCGGCGTTGTCGTGGCTCAGCAGCCCCACCAGGCTCGCTGCGCCGCCGAGCTGCACAAACTCGGCGTAGAAGCGCTCCGGCTGCGTGGTGAGCACGAGCAGCGACTTGATCTCCGCATCCACATCCGCCTCCGACTCGATGAAGCGCGCCGGATCCGCGGCGTACTTGGTGCGCATCTCGGCGTTCTTGGTGATGGCACGCTCGAAGCGCAGCAGCTGCTTGCGCAGCGCAGGCACATCAGCCGGCGGAGCGCCGGACGAGGCGTCACCGCCGTCCATGATGTCGAGGATCTGCGTCTGCTCCGCAGTGAGCCCACCGCCGAAGAAGCGGCCGCCATCTTCGTCGTCGTCCGAGAAAAAGTACGTCTCTTCCTCGGCAGGCGCAAGCTCGTCGTCGTCCTCGTCGTCGACGCGCGCTGCCTTGCGCGGGCGCGGGGTGGGAGCGTCAGGCTGTGCGGGGGTGGAGGAGGATGGCCCGGCGGAGGCGGAGTCGGCTGGTTGCGGCGCCGACCACTTGCGCTTGTTGACCGCCGCAGACGGCAGGTCCGGCAGCTTGAAAAGCTTCCCCACGTCCATCGTTTGTCGATGCTGGTCTAGGCCAAGGATGGTGGTGGAGAGCAGCGTGCACAGACGCAGTGGAGAAGCCGAGGAAAGGCCTCGAAAAAGTGGAGTGGCATTTCCGAGTCCCGACCTGTTTTTCGTCAAAGTGTCGAGGCTGCTGCTCAGCCATCTGAAATCTCAACCACCAACACCTCCAGCAAGACGAGCAGACGAGCATGTCGAACCACTCTTCTGCGGCGGCCAACTCTGCAGCTGCGTCCACATCCGACGACCCATATGCGCCGTTCTACTACTGGGACGCCGGTGCCAACAACTGGGCGTTCGACTACAACTCGTATTACGCCACGTACGGCTATCCTGCCGACTACTACGCTTCGGGCGGGGCTTCTTCGTCTTCAGCCTACGCCTACCCTTCCACCGACGCTGTAGCTTCTGCCGCGAACCCTTACTACCTGGACCACCAGACGACGTCTACAGCGCAGCCTGCTGCCTCGTCTTCGAACACGCCGATTGTGGACCCGTTTGCGGGTCCTTCTTCCGCGCCGCCACCGGCAGACGTGCGTTACGACGAACACGGCCGTGCGATCCCGGGCAAGCTGCGCAAGGGCGAGACGCGTCCGACCGTGCTGCGGCGTGCTGCAGGCAAGGTATGGGAGGACCAGACGATGCTCGAGTGGGATCCGGCGCACAAGCGTCTGTTTGTGGGCGATCTGGGTGGCGATGTGAGCGACGAGATGCTCGCTGCGGCGTTTGACAAGTGGGCGTCGTTTGCGCGTGCGCGCGTCGTGCGTGCCAAGGACGGCAAGAGCAAGGGCTACGGCTTTGTGGCCTTTGCCGATCCCGAGGACTTTTTGAAGGCCTGGAAGGCCATGGATGGCAAGTACATCGGGTCCAGACCGTGCAGGATCAAAAAGGCCGCGGACACGCTCAATGTCGTTCACATCGGCGCGAGGAAGGATAGGCTGCTGGCCATCGCCGCCAAGCAGGACAAGAACGCGCACAAGAGGAAGATGGGCGGTGCCGTCGGTGCAAGCCTCCCGCGCACGGGTCTGGCATCCAAGCCGAAACCCTACTAACCCCTCTGCCGTTGAATACAGAACTCACAATTCCCCAACAAAACCTCGCACACGCACAATCCGAGGAGGTTGCTGCGAAAGAGTCCATGATTAAGCGCTGCTAAAAAAGAGTGAGAGTGTTCTACGAGACACGCACGACGATGGCGCCCGGTTCGTCATTGACGTTCCTGGTGGTGGGATCAAAGGCTCTCGGCGCATCGGCGAAGGGGAGGACGCTTCTGAGTCTGGGGCAGATGTCGCCCGACTCGGCGGCGCGCTTGACAGCCTCGAGGGCCTGTTTGCAGTCCTCGCCCGTATCGACGCCGACCCACTCGTATCCGATGTTCTTCTTGTCCTTCTTGAAGAAGGCGCGGCGCAGGCTGCGGAAGTGGCTCTTGAGGTTCGGATTGGCGGTGCCGTGTTCGTCGCCGAAGCACGTGCAGAACTGTCCGTCGCAGGCGAGGATGCGCCGCGAGGCATCGTAGATCTTGCGCCCGCCCACCGTGTCTACGATCAGGTCGAACGACGACTCGTGCAGCGAGTTGATCGCCCACAGTGGCTCGCCGATCACCACCTCGTGCGCGCCGTTGGCCTGGCAAACTGCCACACCGTCCGACACGCTTGGCGGACACTGCGCCACAATCACCAGCCCCAGCCCCACCGACTCCTGCATGGTCAGCAGTCCGACGCCGTCGTGCGCGTTGAGGATGAGCACGCGCGCACCGCGCGGCAGCTGGCTGCAGTGGTTGTGCACCAGCTGGTGCGCCATCACGCCCGCCGAAGGCAGCGCAGCAATCTGCTCGGTGGTCAAACAGTCGCTCGGCGCATGGCAGATGCGGTTGTGATCCACCACGGTAAACTCGGCCAGCGCACCGGACTTGCGGCTATCCTGCAGCCCAAACACCACATCGCCCTTGCGCATCTTCTTCACCTCGTACCCGCACTCGACGAGGCGGCCGCAGAAGCTGCGACCAGGCACGAATCCAAACGCATTGTCGCCGCGCACCTTTTCGCGCAGCAGCAGCTTGTCCGTCTCGTCGATGGCCACCGCGATCACCTGCACCAGCACCTGGTGGCTACCGATCTTGCGCGGCGGCGGCGTGTGCGCGGTGATCGAGAGCGTCGTCAGCGACAGCTCGTCCTGCAGATGCTCGGGCACGTCGCTCGAGCTGCGACGCTCGCCGTTCAGGTCGACGCTGCTGCGCTTGCGCCTCGCCACCTTGCTCTTGCCCGCAAACGCGCCGCTCGTCACCGCCACCGTCTGCATGGTGGTGCGGTTGTTCAGCAGGTCGTCCACGTTGGTGCTGAAGCGCTTCGGATCCTTGTTCGGTCGGTAGCTCGTAGGCACCGTCGGCATCGACGTCGGGATCGTGCTCGTCAGACTGATCACCGACTGCGATGCCGACGGCGACGAGCTCGCCGAGCTTGCGCCCGATCCGCGCCCGACGATCGACGGCGGGCTGAGCGACTCGGCCACCGACTCGGCCACCGAGGGCATTCCGACGCCGTCCACCGACATGCGCGACCTCGCCACGGGCGGATGCAGGTACTGGTTGGTGGCTGCACCGAGCGGCGCGTTGCGCACCACCGCCGGCGAGCTGACCGCACTGATCACCGAGCTGCTGCGCGACACGGTCGAAGCCGGCAGCGGCGGATACGGGTGCGGCGAAGTCGGGCGCGACGGATAGGGCGACACGCCGGCGGCTTCGCCCTCGGGCACCTGGCTCTCCCACTCGTTGATCGCCGACATGAGCGAGTGGCGGTTGCCCGTCTGCGCGAGCGTCGGCATGACGGGGCTCGGCGAGAGCGCACGCATCTTCTTGGCGTACGGCGAGAGCTCGTGGTGGTTGACGTACGTCGCCTCGGGCCTCGGGCTCCCGCGCACCGAGGAGTGGATGCTGCTCGACACATGCGACGCCGCCGATCGCCCAGACTGACTCGGCACCGCACTCGGCGCCGGCGACACCGAGCGGCTGTCCCAGCCGGGCTCCGACGATGCGACGCTCGGAGCATACAGCCGTGACGACGAGCTCGAGACGGACGGAGCACCAGTCATGCCCTGATACCCGACAGGAACGGGCGGCACGGGCGGCGCTTCGGCCATGATCTTGCTCATCGACGACGAGTGCGGGATCGCGCCGGGCGAAGCACTGCGACGCTTCGATTTCGGACTCGGAGATGGCGTGGCACGCACGGGACGCTGCGGAGACTCGACGATCGCTGCGTGCGCCACAGGCACCACCTGGCCAACAATCGGCGCCACAGGAAGGGCGTGCACGGCATTGCTCGGGGCAGCGGAGGCCAGTGGAGCTTGGGCAGGGGCAGGTGCAGCCGCCTGAGCCGATTTCTTGTCGTTCATGCTCATGCGTCGCAGCACGGACGAGTCGATGGTCGTGGCGACGAGGCCAGGCGGCAAGCTCAAGCCCTTGCCCTTGTACTCGGTCCAGACGCCCTTCTTGGTCGGCGCCATGGACTTGGACCTGACAAGGTTGTCGGAGGACCCGTTGGGCTTCGAGTCCGCCCTGACAGCGGTGCGCTGGCTCGATGAGCGAGACATGAGCGGCGGGCGCTGCGGTGCGACTTCGTCCTCGGACTCTTCGATCGTGGGTGTACCGGGCACGCGCGACGATGTAAACGAGGTGCGCGTCTCGAGCGCCGGCGGCGTGGGCGGGATAAGGTTGATGCCGACACCCGGCACCTGCTGGGGCTTGCCCGTGGGCGTGCGGTCGTCGTGCGGTACTGCCATAACATCGTCCATGTCGGGCGGCGGCGGCATGGGCAGCCTCTTTTCGGCCACGCTGAGAGCCTCCGGGTGCGGCTGGACCTGCTGCACGGGCAGAGCCGGCGCAGGCACGACACGCTCACCCACCTCGGTCGCAACCGGCTTCTGGGTTGGAGCGACATCGACGACGTCGGGCGAGGTGAGACTTGTGCTTGCCACGCTTGCTTCCGATGAGGCCGGAGCACTCGTTGTGGCGCTCATCGTCTCTGCTGCCGGGCTGTCCTGGGCGGGAACTGCCAGCTGTGCTTCGGCAACAGCGCCGTTGGTCTTGGGCGCAGCACCATCCACGTTCGCGTTCGCCAGTGGCTGTGCTGCCTGTTGCTGCTCCGCGGTAGGTGCGCTCGGCTGCGGCGCGTCAAGCTGGGGAAGCGAGAAGGAGCCAAAGCCGTTCATGCCCTTCATCTGCTCAGATAGGTTGCGCTGATGAGCGGGGCGCGCGTCGGCAGCACTTGCTTGCGGCGCGACTTGTGCCGGAGTTTGTGCCACAACGTGTGCTGAGGCTGCGTTTTGGAGCTCGGTCGGGTAGACGGGCACCGCCGTGTCTGCCAGAGCCTTGAGATCGTAGGCAGTGTGGAACCTTTCCGGCGATACATCGGCACCTGCGACACCCTGCAGGTTGGCCATGCTCTGCGGCGGAGTCGCAAACTGGCCCACAGTCTCGGAGGCCACCAGCGCGCCTCCCTGCGGTGCTGGAGCGACGTCCGCCTTCTGCTTGCCCAAGGCCTTGGCCGAGGGCGAGGCGGGCACATCAGCGGCAGGTACCCGTGTCGAATCGGCGCTGGTGCGATCCTTGACCGACTCGACCAGCGACGAGCGCTCGCTCTTGACCGAGCTGGAGCCGATCGAGTCAACAGAGGCGTCGCGCTTGTGCTTGTCCTTCTTTGCCTTCTTTTCTTTCTTCTCCTTCTTCTCCTTGCCCAGCGAGCGGAATGGAATGCCAAAGAGCGTATCGGCGAGGGATCGGCTAGGCTTTGCCTTGGGCGTAGACTGGATGAGCGAAGTCTTGTCCTTGCCAAGCGCGACGGGAGCTGCCTTGATCGGCGTTGCCTGGCTGCTGTGCCCTGCCGACGGCGCCGATGCCGCGCTCGCCAGGCTGTTCTGGGAGAGCGAGGCGGGCAAGGTGCTGCGTGTATCCTCAGCGGGGCGCCGCGGGGACTCGGGCTCAAGTCTGCCCTGAGAGATGAGCAGGCCGCCCATCTCGGTGGGTCGCTTCGCCTTGGGCCTTGGGCGATTGAGCACCGACACCTTGGGCTCGGCCGAGTCGCGGGCATCGAGTTGCTTGGAAGCTGTAAGGGTGACGTCGCCGGCATCTTCGGCCGCTTGCTGGTCTGCGCCCTCGGTGCCATTGGCCTGGTTGAGCAGCCAGACAGCTGCGAGGCTCGGCGCAAGGTCAGTGCTGGCGCTGTTGCGCTTGTTGCCGTCGGCAGCAATAGCAGCGGCGGCCTCTGCGCGCTTTTGTCGCACCTCCATGACGGCGCTCTCGGTCTCGGTATCCACTACATCGGAGGAACGAGCAACCGGCGCGGCGGGAGTGGTGATCGGAGCACTCTTTTCAACCAAGGCCGGGGCCGCGACAGGCTGCTCGCTGTCGGGGACGAGCTTGTTGACCGTGGTATCGGAGTGATCAAAGCGGTCGAATCTGTCGAGCATGTTCGAGATGGAGGGACCGAAGAAGTCCTCGCCAAGGTTCATCTTGCGCAGACGCTGCTGTTCTGCAAGCGACTTTGCCCTGAGCTCGGCATCATCGTCGGAGAGGTCTGCGTCCACATCCGAGTCGTCGTCGCCGTTCTGACGCATGGAGGAGCCGGAGCGTCCGAGGATGCCGCTAACGGCGAAGGAAGTGCCGAGACTGATTTCACTGAGACGTCGCTGGGCGGTGTCTGGTCGGGAGGCTTTCGAGGCGCGGTTGGTGCGGCGCTGGGAAGGAGAGACGGAAGCCGTGTCTGCCGAAATGCTTTCGGTCGATGGCTTTGTGCTCACACGTGGCCTTACGATGGATGCCACCGGAGATGCCTCGCCGTTGGCTTCGTCTGCTGCTTCCTTGGCGACGGGAGAGCTGCGCCCGCTCGTGACCGACTGGTATTCGCTGAACTCGGATGCACGACAGACGAGCTGCGGCCTCTGAGCGTCCACGACGAGCTGTGGAGCAGCTGGCAGCGGCTCTGCCCGAGCCGCTGCGGCATCGGCGTTGGTATGGCCAGCGGCGGACGGCTCGGTGACGTGGATGCTGACGCCCGAGATGGCCGCAGCCGCAGCATCTTCGTTGGCGTCGGTTTGACTCTGCATAGAGGCCTGTCGTCGATGCAGCCTCGCCTCGAATTCTTCGTAGTTGGCTCTGGGACCCTTGCCTTTGACGGAGTTGTGCGAGAGCATTTCGCGGTGGTTGTGACCGATGCTGGAGCCATCCTCGTCCTCTTCGGCGACGACGTCAAGCGCAGGCTGACCACCGCCCACGAGACCCTCGTCCGAGGACGCTTCGGACTCTTCGGACTCGTCGGACTCTTGCGACTCTTCTGTCTCTTCCGGCGTGGCCTGCTGTGACGGGGCCGGCTCTGTGACTGCCTCGACCTCGTCGGCATCCTCTTGCTCCTGGATGCGGTCTGCGAGGAACTGCGCCGTGGTGGGTGGTGCAGCGGCAGCGATGGGCGGCGGGATGGAGCTTGAGGACGCCAGCTCGTGTGGCGGTTGTGCGGCGTACTGCGCGGGGGCAGGCTGCACGGCTGCACGAGGCGCGGCCACGGCGACGGGCGCGTAAGTGTGCGTGGGGCTTTGAGGAGGCAATGCTTGGGCTTGGGCCACCACCGCAGGGGCTGGCTGAGCGTATTG